ATTGTGCATTTACAAACTAAGACCATAATCTCAAAATAGTGCTAGATAAAGATAAGTAAACACTACCAGTCATTGTCGACCTATTTTCACTTGGTTATGACGGATGTATTTTTTCGGCCGCCATCTTGGATCCGCCATTTTGAAATGTGATAATTTATTTTAAATATGAAGGGTGTGTTGTTACCCATCATTTCAGATTACTTTTTTAAGCTGAACTCAATTCCATGATCCGTTTTTCAATTTTATATTTTGATTTTGAAATATTGACATTTTAAAAAAAGTGCAATATATCATAAATAAAACTTGATAACAAAAAATGGATTGCGGCATTGAGTTTAGCTTAAAAAAGTAGTTCGAAATGATGGGTCACAACACACCCTTCATATTTAAAATAAATTATCACATTTCAAAATGGCGGATCCAAGATGGCGGCCGAAAAAATACATCTGTCATAAAAAAGTGAAAATAGGTCGACAATGACTGGTAGTGTTTACTTATCTTTATCTAGCACTATTTTGAGATTATGGTCTTAGTTTGTAAATGCACAATGTTAAAATGGGCTAAAAATAAAGTTTTAAAAAACCCTCATACTTTGGAATGAATCAAGATTTATAAAAACGGTTTGCGGCATTGTAATCAGGGTAGAATTGTAGTTCGAAATAATGGGTCACAACCCCACCTTTACATTTGAAAAAAATATTTTGCATCCAATATGGCGGATCCAAGATGGCGGCCGGAAATGACCACCTTGTCAAATTTAAGTACTTACTACCCAACAATGTTTGGAAGTGGTCTGGGATTGATATTTGAAAAAATGTAGAAAAAAGTTGGGGGGGGGGGACAATTAAAACTCACCCTGTATATACACGTCCATGAACGCGATAACTTGAGTAATATTTGTCCGATTTTTATGAAATTTGACTTGAATGTGTAGGGCGGGTTAAACTTGAATGAGTTCACGAACCAGCATGATCGGACCATGATAAAGAACGGAGACGCGTAAAAAAACACGAAACACACGAAGGCTGCCAAAACTGTTAGTCTCTAGACTTTACCTTTGCCCGGTCATGTTCGATTTGGTCAATGTCCCTTTCCCTTAGTGTCTTTCGTTTTTTTTTGTAAACATTTGTGTCCGTTTGGATTAGCTCCAGGCGTTCAACATTTGATGTGACATTTATTTATTTTAAGACTCTCAAGGTTATTATATTCGTTTACGCTAATGGGTAGATGGCGGTTTTTTTTAGTAACAAAAACAAAACTGATTAAATCATTTGAAATTAAATGAAATGAAAATGAAATGAAATGAAATGAAAAATTCTTTATTTTACCAGGCAAAGTTAGGGCCACATGGCCCTCTCTTACACTTAACCTGACAAACTTAAATATAAATAAATAAAAATACAATGACATTTCTTAATCTAATATAAAAATACATATTTAACACATCAAGTTAACACTTTAGTTAAGTTAACATTAAGTTTAACACATAATTTGGGATAAGCATGCTGGCCATTCAATGGACTTCTTCGGTGAGTTTTGCCCAGCAACTTTGTCCCTTTCTTAAAACTAAATTTTGTACTTTCACACGCTGTCACATATTTATTTGACATTTCCTCGATAAAAAATAGCCCATGGAAAATTTGGATTAAAAAAAATTTAACTCATAATCTAATAAAGGCGTGAATTTTCAAAGGTGTACGATGCCACTGTATGTTTAAGAAATCAGCACTACCAAATTTGATTTGCATATAGAAATACGTTCTCTAGAGAATATTAACATATACAACTACGGAAATATGTTTAAGTAGGTATTGACGAGATTAAGCAATTGGGAATCGTCAGCTTAAAGCCTATTCCACACCCACACATGGAGTCTGTCAACACAGTTTTAGATACAAGTTTCCAATGTGTTTTGCGTCCACACTAGCCAGCCAGTGTTTCCATGTTTGTTGGTATGGTAACCGAGGAGGACGTAATTATATTCTGTGCGGGCTTCATTTTTCTGAGCCATGGGCCTAATGAATCTAGGAAGAGACTATGATGGACTCAAAATTTTCTCGAGCAAGGTTCGTACAATGGTCGCAATCTTCTGTCAGACCTTCAGATTAGGTGGAGGATTTAGGAACTTCACGAGGTTCACTTCTAAAGATTTTGAAATTTTGCTGGGCTTTGTTGCTGGTCTTCGATTTTAAACTTGAAGACATGAACAATTCAATAAAATGTCATATAATGATATAAATCATTGAAAACTAATTCCAAAACATTCAAGAAACTCAATCCATCTATTTTATTACCGCCCAAAAATCGTAATATTACCGCTTTGCAGTCTAACTAAATCTGGGCTGAATGGTGAACACCTTCGGCTTGTATTTCAGTCTCCTGTCTCCAGACACGTCCACACATGCAGACTTGAGACAAAAGTCTTGTCTCTTGTCTCCATGTTTCCCGATCGAACGGGAAACAGAAAACACTGTATTTTGTCTCCAGAAACATCGAAATTTGTCTGCCGACAGTCGGCCGACATACTGGAGACAAAATAGCAACACTCCGGAGACAGTCGGCAGACAATGTTTCAGCAGACAAATCGCCATGTGTGGACGAGGCTTAAAATAATAGTTTACTTCAGTGAGCGTTTTTGTTTGATGAAAAAAATTCTCGAAAAATATTTATTTGAAACTTTAGGTCGATTTTAAATTTGAACTTAAGCTTGATATGAAATGTAAGAGAATTAATGTTGAAATAATACAACATTTATTATTTTAGATGATTATATGGTTCAATATAACATAATTACACTATTTTGTATTTCTTCAATATAGTCTACACTGGTGTGATCACGTTGTTAACAAGATAATAATCCGACATTTTTGGTAACTTTTTCTTAGTCCCCCTGTCGGATTGTCAACTGTAAATAGCTAAAACTTACATAAGGAAAATCGCCTGAAAGTAGAAAAATGCATGTTTAAAAGTAAGTTAGTTATACCTAAAAAAATCCATTCATCCATCAACTTTTATGAGAAAAAAATAATTGTTAATTTTTAGGGCAGGGCTGACACCCGTATAGCACTCATAGATATATAACAACACAATAATAACATGGTAATATAATATAATAACAGTTTTGTTATATATATGAGTGCTATCCGGGTGTCAGCCCTGCCCTAAAAAGTAACAATTATTTTTTTCTTATAAAAGTTTATGGATGAATGGATTTTTTAGATATAACATAACTTACTTCTAAACATGCATTTTTCTACTTTCAGGTGATTTTCCTTATGTAAGTTTTAGTTATTTACACTTGTCTCTTGATAATCCAACAGAGGCATCAAGATGGTTTTAAATTACCGAAAATGTCGGATTATAATGATTGTGGTTTCCATTGTAATTTTGTTAAGATATAATGTAGTATATAATAATAATATAATAATAAGTATTAATAATTGACAATAATTGGGGACAGGGTAAAAAAAACGAGGAAGCTAACAAAGCACTAAAATATAGGCATATTGTTTTGAGTGGTTGAGGTTTTAATATTTCAATATTTAAATTTGTTTGCATTGAAAAGGATTTGGATTTTAACTCTTACCTTAATGAATCCAGAAATCTGAAGGGTGAATAATCTGCTTAAGCTTCCATGACCAAAAGAACAAGACAAACCTAAACCCCAGTCCACCTGATATCAGCTAACAGGATAATACAGGCACTGATGAGTCATCCAAACAGCTGACGGAAGCTTTCAGTTGAAATTGCTAAGCTGGGCTAACAGCTGGGCTGGTATAATTGGGATTTTGTAGTTCCTTCGATTTCAGTAGGCAAAATGTGAACACTCCTGCAAGTTATTGGGTTTCCCGCAGACTGTAGGCTAGCACTAAAGCCGAATAAATTCTTGAGTTACATGAGGGGGCCAACCTCTGTATTTGAAAGTAGAAATAAAATTGCGAATGTTACAATATGCACAAATAGTGTATTACAACTAGGCTACCCAAATGATGGTACATACAGTATAGTGCGGAGGGAGGGGATTCATTTTGCTGAGGGTTGTATTGACTAAAATATATTAATAGTTTATGGTAATAGCCTAGTCCTACTTACCGATGGTAGCTCGATCACGTGAAAGTAGAAAAATGCATGTTTTGGCGCATTTTACAAACATCCATCCAACAGTTAGTTGTCAACGGGTTAGAGAATGGTATAGACATAGATAGAATTGTAAGCTTACAGAAAAAAGGCAGTTAGAATAATAATGAATGTAAAACCAAGATGACACATTGTCAACTGTAACTGTATTTGTAAAACCAATCTTTCAACTTTGGTTAACCTATACTAAAATATAGTTATAGTATACACTATAATATACTAAATATACACTACAGAATGTGATGTTCTGATGATGGCTAAGTGCATTGTTGACTAAAAGAGCCATATTGCAAGATTATGAAACAGGAGATAGAAATTTACCTAAGTTACTTAAATGGCTAACAAAAAAACAAAACTATTAATTAATTTAATCGTTAGATAATACCATATAATACCTATAGTTTCAAATAAACATGTAGGTCTAGATAAAATAATTTAGGCTTACTTTTAAATAATGTCTATTTCGTGATGTTTGTGGCAAAGTAAAATGTATAAATTTGTGACTATTTTTTAACGATTTCATTTGTTTTGTTATAGGTAATGTAAGTTGTAGAGCGATTGCCAGTCTTAATTAAACTACAATAAAGTTTTTCATATCATTATCAATATCTGAACAATATTGCCCTGCTATGGCATCCTTATTACATAAAACACCTGTAGATAGTTTTGTTCCTCTTAACCCATTATTACTAGACTATCTCAGTTTAATTAGTTTTTATAGCGGCGAACTGTAATCTTATATGGAAGGTGTGAATAAATGGGTCAATGTACCGAAGGTGGGTGAGCGGACTGTACCTTCAGTACCTGACTGATGAGACTGTACCGACTCCGAAGCCACTGAAGCCGAAGCCAGTCTCAGTCAGTTTTGAAACGTGTCCTTGTAGTGAACGTTGTAGTGTGGTTAGTTTGGTGCGCGCTAAGTTTAATTTATAAAAGGTATTTTAAAGTGATTGTAATTTAGATGGTTTTTGATTGATTATGTGTTTTTTTATTTATAAAAAATGTTCACGCAGATATCTCACCTTCACCCATAGGGCTGATTTAGCAGTATTATACTCTCGTTGGTTCCAACAAACTTCATTTTGAATTGTACATGTATGTGTAGCGTTCAATAGGTTTTACGAAATATGTGATTAGCGAAGCCGGTATTAACTGTTAGAGCGAATATCGGTTACTGGTAAGCTATTGTTATAAATGTATTCAAATATCGTAAATTGAAAAGCCGGCAGATCCCTTTAAACGAGGTAGTTATTTACCAGCTACTAAAATCGTGGTAGGCGAATAAAATATAGAACTAAAAAATTAAAGAAAATGAAACTTTAGTTTAACAACCATTTGAAGCTTTCTAACAGTTTTGCAAAGAACTAACATTCACCAAAGTAAGTCTACTTCTCATGAAGTAATTTTACGTAAACTATTTCTTTGTAGTCCCAAGGATTACAATCGCTGAGTTTGTCAATTACCGTAAAAAAATAATAATGGTGTATTTCATATAAATATAAGATCAATATCCTAATGTAATAATAAAACTAATCTATGATATCCACCAATTCATATGTCAAATTGAAATTAAAGTATCGGACTAAATAGATCCTATAAAAAATAGACTTTAGACATAAGTCAATTTAAATAATACTACAACAATCGAATGCAAATACTGTACTATTTTATTTTGCGAGCCTACTGGGTAATTCAACCAAAAATACATGCATGTATTGAATTTTATCATTTCATAATTTTAAATACACCACACCATAACTATATATTACAAGATTTCGTACTAAATAAGACATGCTCCAGAAGATAAATAAGCTTTTCAAAGAGCGTGTTAACAAAAACATTTGATTTAATATGTTTAATATCAATATAAACTAATACCTACGCCCAGCTTCAATAATGAAATGCTGCTGAGATACCTAGGGGGGATACTGCAACTGAAACTCATGTCCTCGAGAATTTATCCTGAACACTTCTATGTGGGAGTTACCGGGGGACCACTCGGCGCACCAGAAAATCTTATAATATTTTACAGTCTAACAATAAAATCGATCTTTTCCTCGATCAACACCCCGAACCGAGCAGGGAGAAGGGAGGTCGAAGGTGTGTCAGGGGTCCGTATGACCGATCCAGATGGCGAACCAGACATCAGGACGAGCAGGGAGACGAGCGCTCTGGAGGCGGTTTTTTGACGAAAGATCAAAGAAAAGATCGGCCCAATGTACGGTAGTGTGTCATGGTATATTTTTGTCGCGAACGCCGCAACGAGCGGCCGCCTGGGCTAGCTGTTGATAGTTCTAATTCTAATTTAGGCTAATATGGCAATTAAACTCTTTTTATTGGTAAAATAAATAAATGTTGGATAACATGTTGCCGTTATATGTTATGGGCATTTATGTTATAATTTTGTGGGTTGTTTGTCTTGATCGGGGAAAAGATCGATAGTGTTATATGATTTAACGTTTTACAATAGTTCCGCCTTCAGCCCTACCCACCGTACAAGTCTTTCTTCTCTGATATTGGATCCACCACAACAGTAGCCTATAATCTTATCACCGCTAACTAAGAATTGGGAACTACTACCAAAATACAGAGATTAATGTACTAATAAATAAAAAAAATTTAATATTTTCAACATTAATGAAATTTAAATCGATTTTGTGTGCAGTTACTACAGCCATGTCATTTAAAAAGGGGGATACAGGCTACAACCATAAAACATTTAACATATCACATTCAATCTTATCACCACTGCCCCAAATCGCTGATAATTATGTAATTTGATATAATTATATAGTTATTAAACACGTCTCATCCATGAATAAAAAATATTCTTTGTTGGATCATGATAATTCATTTGGCCATGATTCACGATTTTCCAATGTAATTTTATTTAGGTTGAATTTTGACATGGTTAACTGTGGTGTGGGGTTAGGACAAATATAAATGATCAATTCTCAATGAAAGTATGCCAATAAGAGGACGGATTATAGGTGATTTAAATCTTTGTGTGACCAGAGCACAAAGGAGTCGTAGTCCAAAGCGTACCCGATTCTTCTTTTCCTACAGGGGGGAGAGAGAAAGGTCCAGACGAGCCTTGTCCGTCGTCGACTAAACCTAAAATATCTACCGGAGGAGATAACAAATTATGTTTCCCATTGGGATATAGAAGAATTGATCTATTCTATTTATTCTGAGAAATTGACTTGTGCTGTTTTTGTTTAAACATACGCAACAAAAAACTTTACATTCCGTTAAAACGTTTGTTTGATTCTTCGAGGAACTGGTCTCCCCATGAACTAAGATATATTGTCAAACCTTATTCCCAAGACAAAGAGAATCCGACACTTCTTTCCGCACACGCTGTACACGGCAGAACAGTAATGACAAGATAATCTGAGCAGAGGACATTTTACTTCTGAACATTTTAAAAACATTTTTGAAAAGTAGGCTAATTGTTTTAATTAAGGTGTGTACATATCCGATATGTTAAAAACGTTTGCTTTTGAGAATCCAACAAAAATTGTTATTTCATAATAATATCTTACCTCTTCTTATCGAGGGACCCCGACAATGGTAAAATTGCGTATAGCAAATACAAAATGCACATACATATTTTCCGTCCGTACTAGCATCGTACACCGAAAAACATATTTGTGGAAATGTTTTGTGAATTTTTCACTAACAGGGTATCTAAAAATACACTTTGAGCACTATATCAACATTTTTTCCAAGTTCTTAAGTGTAGATCGTCTCAGTCGTAAACCGTTATAAAATTAAAACCTAACCTAACATAACAGATTTAATAAATCGCAAGTTCCTACATAAAACAACACTTTATGAACAACGTATCTAAATTATTAATGGGCTTTCCAAACTTTATTTTGTAAGAAGTATTATCAAACTAAATCACCCTATTTTATTTAACGTTTTAACCTTGAGTTACTATTCCTACTTTAGGAAACAAAGGTGAAATTCGTGAGGTGATACAGTGATCTATAGTCAAGTGATGTGATCCACCAGTGTGCTGAAGATCTACTTAGGACAGCCATGTGGGAACTGTTGGTGGTTCTGGCCGTTCTTTCTTCGCCAGTGCAGCCTGGTAAGTACATGGACTTTTTACCTACCTTCTCATTTTAGGGGATTGTTTTCACGTTACTTCAGACCAGGCCTAGAGGGTTGCAGCATCGTCACTTGAATGAAATCCTTTTCCGATTGGCAGGATTTGATCCCGGGACCTCAAGGACCGAAGCCATACGCTCCATACATTGACTTTGAATAGTATTGTATTGTAAATATGAAGTGGGGTTTATGAGTTTCACTACGCTTTTCGAATAAGGGCTATTCTCTGGTGTTAATACAAGAGAGCAAGCAATAGTTAGCGGTATTCAGTTAAACTAGTTTAATTTAAAGTTTGTTATAATAATAAATAAACAGTGTAATTGTTTCCTCTACATAAAACATTCTGAAACATCCTTAGAATTATTGTCAGCGCGTCTCTAAGGGTGATAAAATCTATTAGTAGTTTGTTCAGTCCATGATTTATATGTAGAAGTATCATTTATCCTGGTCCAAAATCCTCCAATAAATGATTGCCACGCACGATACTGATGAATATTGCATTTATTTATTCATAGCTACGGATACACCATTTACAAAATAGATGTGTGTTAAGCACATGAACAGAATGAAAAGATAACAAAAAAAATAACAAGATAAGTTACATAATGACCATTAAACAAAGCAGCATTGCAACAAAAAATAATAACAAGACAACAACGTAACAACAATAACAGATAATAACATTAACAAAGTATTGTACAGATAATAACAAAAAATATTTAATATTAATTTGGACTTCAGAAAAAGCATATAGATTTTGAAAGTAACAACAACAAATATCTCCTCAAGATTTAACAATAGCCTATATAAACTATGATGACATTAAGTTCTACGTGAAAAATAACAACAATCAACAATAAATCTATGAATGAATAACAAGAATTCAGATTCAGATTCAGATTCAGAAACACTTTATTCAAGATTTACATTTTACAAATATAAATGCAGAATGGCGTCAATAAATACAATTAATTCTATAAAATATTATCAAAATGCTCACTAAATGAGTAGTAACATTTGCTTAATATAAATATTTTCAATTTCTTTTTAAAAGTCTTAATATTATTAATTTCCATTAAATCTTTAGGCAGAGCATAAAAAACCTAGTACCTGCAGCAGTGGGTTTTTTTTATTATAAAACTCTAAACTATGCTTCTGGATGGCTGGGTATTTCCGATGCCGAGTATTATAATTATGTGTCATTCCCAATTTTGGAAGTGTATGTGTATTCATTTCACTTTTTAGATTAATGATAGTTTTATAAATATATAATCCATACACTGTAAAGATATTTAATTTAGCAAAATACTGTTTTGCCGATTGGTTTTCTCCTAAGTTTAACATTATACGTATGGCTCTTTTTTGTAAAAATAATATACCATCTAAATTTTGAATGGTTGTTGCACCATATAATTCAATGCCGAATGCTATATGTGAGTTTATGTGAGCATAGTAAACCTTCAGTAAAACATTCAACGAGCAGAGTTTAGACAAGTTGTGCAGCATAAATAGACCTGAACAAATTTTACTTTTTAGTTTATCAATGTGGTACAACCAAGATAAATGTTGATCAATTATTAGTCCTAAGAATTTAGTTTGAGTCACTTGAGTTAAGTAATTGTTATCAATTTTTAAATGAGGTTTTAAAGGTTTTTTTTGGGCAGTTGAATGAAAGAGATTTAGGAACAAAACAAACATACATCAGCTACAAAACAGGCATAACAAAGATAACGTTAGAGGATTTCCTTCTGAAGGAAGACAACTGTTCGTTGAAGTCATCTTGTGATCCGACTTTGTTTTCAAGACGCTGCAAATCTGGCCAATCCACGATTGAGAGAGTAGTTAGTTGGTAAGTACAAGTGAGCAAATGTATCTGAAGATCGTGTTCCTCTCGGTATAGGAAATTAATTCATAATTAAATAATGCATAAACCACTGTGTGATTGTGTGATAATTTTGACGATGTTAGAACAATAGACAGTTTACTGACATCAATGGAATGCAGAGGATTTAAATTGTAATGGATTGAAACAAGCGAACAGTTTATAATCTAAGAAAAAAGTTGTGGTCTATTGTGAGGTCTATATTCCGTTAAACCTATGGTTAAAACAATCTTGAGATAACGGATACCTATATATGAAATCTTTCATTATTCTTCCCTAAGAACATTCCAATCTTCGTCTGTTATTGATATGTAGTGGGTTCGGCATCAACAACCAATTTAAACAACGAAAATCGGGCCCAACGGTTTGACGCTCTATGATGTACTATCTCCTTTTGAGAAGGATTTCAAATATAGTGGAGGCCTGTCATCGAAATCGATTGTCTATTAACAACATTTTTATTTATTTTCCAGTAGACTAGAAGAACCAAATGGGTATCATATCTTAAGATTTATCAGACATTTTTAACAATCCTTTAAAATTGTACTAACACTGGATAAGTTGCGATTTTGAAACCACTCAGGAATCTGAGTAAATATGTTGAATTTGCCCCAATCAATACAGCAAGGCAGTAAAAAATGAATTTAGCCATTTAAGCCAAACAAGCTGTTTTATTTTTGTTTATAATGAGGATACGAAGGGGAGATCGGATAATCTATTCCTTTACAGTAACCTAGTTGATACAGAGATTTCAGTCAAGATATGTGAGTTATCTTTAACTTTAATCTTAATATTTATACACACATATTTACGATTATTGTGTTCAAAAATTCCCACCCTATCACAAAGTTGTGAATTTATATATCACAGAAAAAATCTCCGACTAAACATTGTTAGAGTCTTATTAAAAATATTATACCAAGCGCATATACGAATTTAACAACTTGCATACAATGTGTTTTATTCTGAAAACCAGTCTGGCAATAAAGTTCACATTAATCTGTCCCTTTAACGGCATTCTTGTACCACATTTTAATTGAACATAGACTGAGCACAGTGTATGACACTTTCTACCGATGACAAAGAAGAGATCCGGGTAGAGAGAAAGTGAAAGTGTGCTAGTGTTGTCATCGGGTTTACGTAGTCTACACGACCACAGTACGTTTTCTGTGACACGACTGACACAGTACAGTAACGGGTATTTCCCATAAAACACGTAATATAACCCTGACACCATCCCTCAAAGGTAGGTATAAAGTTTTGTGGCAAATGGCACTTTTGCGTCTTTTAAGGAAATAGTCCACACCCTAGGTCTTGATACAAACACCGACTTTTAGCTAGAAAATATTAGGCTATTGATAAACAAATGACATCTCGCTTGGGCTCGAACCAGCAAACTTCAGATTTGAAGGCGAACACTATCACGAACTTTGGAATGTTCATTTTAAAGCTTTCCTTGATCATATCTGTAGAATATTTGTGATTGTTTGCAGGCGTTTTAAAACATTGTTAACGGGGAATTACAATATTTTGCAAGGGTAACTTATTTGGCATTTTCTTGATTTGAAGTCATTTTTTTGCGATCTCCCGTCTTCAGGTGGGAAAGTATCTTGATAAGTTTTAGATATTATTTCACCAGTTGACGAGATGAGATTCCAGATCCCGAAACGTCGTGATCAGTGGCGGTTCTAGGACCTTGTCAAGGGGGGGGGGCTACCGGGGAGCTTGGGGAGTGTGGAGAACCCCCAATAAAGGAGGGGGATCAGGAGGCCCTTCCCCGGGAAAATTTTGAATTTTCAAAGCAGTTTGGTGACTTTATAAAGCCATTTTTAACGCATAAAACTGTACCTATTTGTCCTAAAACTCCCATTTCACCTGTTGTTTGTCATGAGCAAGTAGACATTTAAAAAATTATACTATGACGATTGCATTCATGAATTTCAAAACATACTGTGGACTCCATATCCTTCCAAAAGCCGTTTGGCAACTTTCTAAAGCTTTGTGTGCGAAAACTCCCATTTACCCTTTTATTTGTCATGAACAAGTAGATATTTTAAAAACTAACTATGGCGATTGCATTCAAAAAAATATTGCAGGCTACGACCCATATCCTCCTAGTTTAGTGACTTTCTAAAGCCATTATAATGTCTGAAACTAGAACTGTGACCAACTATCCAAAAACCTCCCATTACACCTGTTTTTTGTCATGAGCAAGTAGACATGTATTAAAAATTAAACGATGGTGAACTTGCATTCATGGATTTCAACACCGTAAGCTACGGCTATATCTCCTAACGTTTGGTGACTTTAACGCTTTAACCCATTTTTAACATCTAGAACCGTGTCCAGTTGTCCAAAAAACCTTCCATTTCACCTGTTATATGTCATGCAAGCAAGTAGACACTTTTTTCAACCCTAAGTTTTTTCTACATTGCATTGACCTGTCGCAGTTTTTGGCACCAGATAAAATATTTGCCAACAGCAGCAATAAACTATAGTCACAGTAGACAACCCACGATATAGTATCAAATAATAGGATACTGGCACTACCGATGTTGACTGATTGACTGATGTCTGTGTATTAGTAGCTAGCAGGCAATTTGACAACCATAATATATATATAGGTATATAGGAACATGAAATCAGTGCTGTTTCCCCGCCCTCGCTCGCGTGCTCGGCGCTCGCCTTAGCCCTAGCATGTCAACAGCTGAATTGCTGAAAAAATTGTATTGATGCCTACAACTGCCCATAGCGTAATGTTGTTTAATTCCTCGTGCTATGTGGAACTTAATATAATACTGCGCCTGCCATCGCTTATTCAGTTTGGTAAATACTACACTGATGTCTGTTTTATAACATTGCGTGTTTTAAGGACAAAATGTATGTTTAAATTTATTTTTCCAGAGAAAAAGTCGACAGAAGCCATACATTTTGTAGTCGGACGCCATTAAAAAGTCAAATAGGGGTTTAAAATATTGCCTGGCTATTTCTTAACTTACTGTTATCATAATTAATGTTTAGTGTTCATTATTAAGATTGCGTCATTAATGCAGTTTTAGCAGTGCTGTAGCTGTGTAGAAAGGAGAGAAATATTTTTT